GCAGCACTACTGCTATGGACCGCAAGCGCCTGCAGAGAGTGGTAAAGACTGTGGAGAAGATCACAAGGACTCCACTGCCCTCTCTGCAGAGCATTTACCACCGCAAGGTGCGTAGAAAAGCTGCCTCCATCCTCAAAGATCCCACCCACCCCCAGCACGGACTGTTCGCCTCCCTACCCTCTGGCCGGAGGTTCAGAAGTGTGAAATGCAGGACCTTTAGACTGAAAAACTCTTTCTTTCCCTCTGCCATCAGACTCCTAAACAGCTGAGGAGTTTTATTACCAGGAAATATGTGATGTACTGTCGACCTGTACTGTTTACATTCTCAGTTTGCACATGCATAATTGCACAATGACTGTTGACTGCTGCACATGCTGCTCCCATGCAGCATACATTCTCTTATTATTACTTATACAGATTATTACAGTATTATTATTACTGTTACTTATTTATCTACTTTATATTTCATTTGTATTTTGTGGCATTTATGTGGACGGCAAAGTAAGAATTTCATTGTACAGGGAAACACGTTTCCTAACTGTGCATATGACAGACACTTTGACTTGACTATTAAATAAACTAAATAGCCTTGTTATTTATCTTATTTACATGACAGCATGCCATTTCTGTCTCTACATAGTTGCATCTTTACAATTCTTCTCTGCTCTCTGTATCGCGTACAGCGGAGTTCTGCCCAGATGCGCACACAAAGACACATGCCCACACACTCCTACCAGCGGATGGAATGTGCGAGTCGGAAAAGATGTAGCGTCAACCACCTGAAAAGCAGACAAAAATATCTGCATTTTTTAAAAATGCTCCCAGGGTGGTGAAGATGGCAACTCTCGCTCTCCTACAAGTGTTTGTGTCGGTGTCTGTTTGCAGATGATGTATTTTCAGTGATAATGTGCGCTTTCGTTTTTAGCTTGGTCACAGATGATTGTGTTTCACCTTCTTACAACAGCAATCCACCTCTAAGTGAAGAAATGCTTCCTCCAGGAGAATGGATGTGTCATCGCTGCAATGTTCGAAAAAAGGTGAGAGGCAGGTCTTAGGCCACGTTCACACTGCAGGCTGAAGTGGCTCAAATCCGATCTTTTTGCCCAAATGTGACCCATATCCGATTTCCTTATGACAGTGTGAACAGCACAAATCCGATTTTTTTTCAAATCCAGCCCAGGCCACTTTCATATGTGGTCCTAAATCGGATACATATCCGATGTTTTGCAATGTGACTTCAGTCTGAATGGCCATGTCGCATTTCATGCGATTTTTATGTCATTGAAATGCACCATCACAATTCTGCGCTGGAGGAGGCGAGGCCATATGCAATATTTGTGCTCTCCTTCTTCTTGATATTCTTCTTATTATTTCTTTATTTCGATTGCACATTAACTGGTACATCGCTACGCACATGCTATCACGAGCTGCATCCATTTTTATTTTCGCAAACACAGTAAGCTGCGTCTGACGTCACATCCTCTTCTGCGCATGCGGGTCACCTCAGGGCTGTATACCGTTCACACATGAGACAGATTTAAATGACAGTGTGAACAATAGCGCAAAAAAATTGGATTTCGGCAAAAAATCAGATCTGAGCATTAAGACCTGCAGTGTGAATGTAGTCTTAGAGGCTGCTCATGCTGCTATTGAAATGCAGAAAAATATTTGTAAACTACTGTAAATGGATTTGAAAGTTTGTTTTTTTTTTTTCTTCACTTTGATTAGAAACGAGAGCAGAAGTCAGAACAGACCAATGGCCTGCCAGAGAGGTCCTTATCTAAGCGCCCTGTGTCCCCAGCCATGGAGCTGGAGCTCAGCGCTGGCCCACTGCGGCTAGATGGTCTGCCTCCAGGGGCTGGAGCGGCAGGACCTGGACTAAGAGTGGCCCAGGTACGTCTTTTGGACCGCAGGACAAGCAGTAGGCCTAGCAGCCGGCCTGGAACACCCACCTCCAACACTTCATCCACCCCGACCCCCTCAGAGGAGCAGAATGATGGGGAGGAGGAGGCAGCAGAACCAGATGATGAAGATCAGGGTGCAGAGCTTGAGGGTGCTACACTATCTGCTCCGACACCACGGCTCCTCAAGAGGCCCTTTCAGCTACTAATAGCAGCCGCTATGGAGAGAAACCCCACTCAGTTCCAGCTGCCCAGTGAGCTCACCTGCACCACTGCACTGCCAGGTCAGTCAGTCATCATGAGTACCCAAACATTCACTGTGAAATATGAGCTTGTTTGTTTAAGACTCGACAGGTGTTTGTGCTGGATTCACTGGTGGCTATGTTCCTAAACTCCACTCAGTCTAACAAGCTCAGTATACTTAAGCATAGACATAAAGGCCTACACTTAGATGCTGCATGAACATGTATCAGTTCTTCATTGATGGTTCCATGCGCATGAACTGCTGCTGGCCATTATGGGGATACATCAACATGGCATTGAAACAGTTCGCTATTGGCTGTTAGCCTAAGGAGCTCGATAGTTAACGCACCTGCGTTTTGAAAGGAGTCTTTGGGCAAAGAGGAAATGATTGCCGCTCTACAAATTTGTTTGTTTAGTGGGGGTTTTGATAAATTGATTTCACTGGCTTTTTATTCGTGGAGGTTTTGCTGCACATACAGTAGAGCATTGGTGTTGTCACTTCGGTTCTGTACTAGAGACCAATTCCTTGTGTGTTTAACATACCTGGCCAATAATCACCGTAATCACCGAGTATATGTTTCACTTGCTCCCCCTCTCTCCACTGAGATGTGTCAGCTGCTTTTTGGTCCATGTGTCCAGGAGCTCAGCATCGCTCTCAGAGTCCGTTTCACCCATGCGCCCAAATAATTTTTCACATTCTTGCACACTGATTTTTACTCGCATATGCAAGTGAAATGCTTGCAACGTGGAGCCCTGGAGTATCTTATTAATATTTCAGGGTAGGGGTGTTTTAAGCTCTCATGCCACGAGATCTTGTGATATTAAAAAGCGACAATATTTATCATTGAGGCAAAAAGCTGTCTTGCCATATCAGTACATAACAGAACCAGAGCAGCAGCCAGGATGATGGAGAGTGCGGGTGAAATTGGTATAGAAGATGCCCCTGCCAGTTTTTCATGTTCAGTTGGTGGAAAGGAGTTCACTAAGAAGGTAACACACTGTTTATCATAGATTGATTTGTTTGTGGTGGGCTGCTACAATATCAACATTGACCGCCACATATTGATTTAAAGTAGGTTAAATCTTATTTCAGTGTAATGCTAGGAATAGCACATGTATTTGCTCAGTCCTGTTAGTGATGGAGATCTAACTCTTCTAATATGTTATTAGCAAGCTAGCAAGGCTAGTTAAACTAACGTTAGAATACAGCTGTTCAGGTCAGCATGCTGTATATAGCATGGATGTATATGAAGTGCTCTGCAAGTCGTCGTCTTATACTTCTTCTTTCGGCAGTTCCCGTTAGGGGAAGTGCTCTACATGTGTAGTTCATAAACTCTGAGGCTGAATGTTTGCCCCCTCAGCTCAGAGCAATATCAAAAAACACATATGAAACCTGTATGTGATTAGTGATCCAATTAATTTTTCAAAAATGTATTGTTTTCAATCAGTGCAGGAAGAGGAAGATGCAGGAGCTAACGTGCTGCTGCTGTGGGAGAGCTAGTGCAGATGATCAACACAGCAGCACTGTAGCATTCTCATATATACTAAATACAGTATATATTAGAAACGTTTTCTTTGCAGCAAAAGTATTTTAAATTCACAAGGACACTGCGAGAGGCACAAGAGCAACATTTGCAATGTTCTATAATAAAAGTGTACTCTTTGAGAAGAAAATGTATTGTTTCCTGCAGTGAACACATTTGATTCCATGTGCATGCCCATTAAAACAGCCTGGTTGTTTATTTAAAATACATGATGCTGGAAAATCCTTGTAAGTGCTGCTGCTGATCAATACTCTGCAATCAGCTATACTCTCTAAAAACACAGTCTATTTGCAAGTGATTATAAAGCAATCATTTTGAAAATGATTGCTAACTGAACACATGGGAGAATTAAATGGAAAACTGCAATGATTGCTTCACCTGGAAAACTACCACACCTGCCTCTGGGTTGCACCAAACCAAGCCTCCTGATTTCCATATTCCCACTCTCAGTAAGTTATAAAGCTGTTAGATGTTTCCTGGCTTGATAAGACATAGTAATTTACCTTGTTGTACAATTCACAATATTCATGTGTTCACACTGAGGTGACTGACTGATAGAGTCTGTGTGAGGGTGTGTGTGTGCGTGCGCAAGGGGACTTGTGTCCATTTAGCAATAGGAGGCATCAAAGCTAAACTATACTACCATTTCAAATAATTCAGGGGATGCTGGTGAAGTCTCCTTATCTCCTGTCAATCTTCTGTGTCTGTCCACAGCCCACTGAACTGAAGAATTAATGAGACAGACTGGCATCCACATCACTGGGGCCTTTACGCATAATATTAAATCACGTGTTATTATTATAATCTTGACTTAGGTGATTTAAAAATAAGGATATAAATTAATCATTTATGCATCCTGTTTCCATTGATTTAAGTGAATGTAGCCTAAAGGTTCATTAAGCATGTCGGTGTGGAAATCTGCCAAGTTCAATCTCTACACCTTATGGAAAAACCTCAGTGCTGAACAAGTCTGATATCTCCTCCAACAGCCACCACTCAAAGACCCCTGAGCACAGCAATTAACTCCCAATTGCTCCAGCAAAGCTGGTAAGTCGTAAACAGCGTAAGCCCGAGTTGCTCCCAGGTATGAATGTGCCTCTCTAATGTACATTTATATAAAGAAGGGTAAAAAAGAAAAAAAGCATGCATGCGCAGTGAAATAAGGGGAAAAACTACTGTATCTGTGATGCACTTAACTTTTCCATCATGCTCTCTGAATTGTATGTATTGTCGAGTGAGTGACCATCAGTGTTGCTGGTTGAGCCAACAACAGCCAAGTCTGTGTAGTGCAATCAAGACTTGTCTTATTACAGAATAAATGACTAATTAGGGTGGGGTAATGACTGATAATTTCCATTCATTAAACCTCTATTCATGGCCTCAATTATGTACGAATGGTTCATTCAGACTTATAATTAACCAAATGGTTATTTTTCACTGTGTTTTCTCCATGAAGGGTGACTAACTCTATTGTACTAACTGTGGAACTTCTGTTGGTTTCAAACTAAGAAATCTCACTACACTATTGTTTTTTCTTTGATGGTGCAACTGAATAACTTATCTCCATGTAATAATTGTTATGTTGCTTTCAAAATTTAGCAAACAAAGCCATAAGCATAAACATTATTATTATTATTATCAAAAATACAAGGAATTTGACTCCAGCCCAATGGCCCCCAATCAAATCAAATTTAAAGAAAGGCCTAGACCTTACTATTATCACTATGATTACAGAGGGAAAACCCAACAAACCCCCCTTGAGCAAGCACTTGACAACAGTGGGGAGGGGAAAAAAAAAATCACCTTTAATTGAAGAAGCCCCCAGTAGATCCCTGCTCTTGGGCGGCCTTCTGCCTTGACCGGTTGGGGTGAGTGGATAGAGGAGAGAGAAAAGAAAAGAAACAAGGCACAACAAACAATTATGATAAGTAAATTCATTTTTCCTCATCAAAATCGAAGAAAGCTTTTTTTTTTTTTTTTTTTTTTTTTTTTTTTTTTTTATCTGTTCTGCTGAGATGTGTGCAAGGCAGTGTTAAGTGGTGCAGTCTGACACTGCTCTCAGCCTGCATTAACCTCAGAGCTAGCTACACCTGTCAGACAACAACGCAGCAGAAACTTCGTGCTGCAGTGTCCATCAGCACAACTGTAACAGGGAGCACTGAAAGCCATGCTGCCACTTGTTTGTTTCATAGATGGCAAGGAGGTGCATTCGTTTTATAGATTCTACTAGTGTTGCCAAAAAAGTTTTTTTTTTGATACATGTCAATTCTGAATATTTGAAAAATTTTCAGTATTCATTTTCTGTAGTATTGATATCAGCTGTGCATTCTCTGTTTCTTCTCTCCAACAGTGAGTTTACGTGCACGCACGTACACACGCACCCCTCTGCAGCACCCACAGCCCCGCCTCCTCTCACTCACTGTCAGTGCTGTCTGCCTTTCATCACTTGTCTTGTTTGATTGATTGAATTTTAAGCTAACAACTGACTGTGACTGCAGGTTTTGCTGTAGTATTAGTTCATTACAGGTGACAAATGCAGAGCCTCCACGACTCATTTTTGTTGACAAAGCAAATGGCAGAAAGTGGCACTGCTGTTTAGCGATGCTACAGAGTAGTGCTCACCGTAGGTGCTGACACAGCCGATACTGACATTGACTGTGCACCACACATCATGCTTTTGAATTTTACACTAAGGATCAGTAGTCTTATGATTATACTGCACTTTGTTTTATTACTCTTATTCAGAAGTTATCAAATACATGTAGTGAGAAGAAAGTATATGTTTCTCTGAAATGTAGTGCATTTGAAGTATGCTGTACCAGAAAATGAAAATACTCAAGTAAAGTACAGATACCTTAAAATTGTACTTAAGAACAGTGCTTGAGTAAATGTACTACCTGTATTACTTCTCACCTCTGGGGAGTTTATACCCTAGGTCTACAGTCTGCTGTTCTCAGCCAATAAAAGAGTCATACCTCGTTGTCATGTTTTAAGCCTTGTTTTACCTATCTTACAGTGACGGGCCGTGCATTTCGTACCTGGGCCTTCAGTGGGGACTTACCTGACTTAATTCACCTCTTAATACCACCACTATCACGTCGCAATTATAGAATCCATCAATACTATACAAAAATGCAATATAATTAGCGTGGGATTACAGAGAGAGAGAGAGAGAGAGAGGTATTTCACGTATTGAGGGTGAATACTATTTTTACTCAAGCAAGAAACCCAGTTAAGACAACTCCAAACCTCTACACTACAACCGCAACTGTACATCATCTGGAGCAGTTCAGACTCATTATTTATCTAATAACATGACAAAAACATACAAAATTTAAATTAAATACATCATACTCACCAGAGATGCTATTTATTTATAGACATTTTTGTGCAGGAAGACTTCAATGTCTGGTAGAGGGCTACATTAGTCAGACACTGCAGCCTAACATCCTGGTCTACCCCAACATAAAACTGTAAGGGAGAAAAATCAAGGCTATGTCTTGAGAAATGTGACATTAAAGAAGAAGTACAGAGTGGTTTATGACAAGTGAAGGCTGATACCTGATGGGTCAACACTGCCTCCATCCTCATGGAGGTGATCTCTGCGTTTCAGTTCTATTAGTAAGTGCTTTTCTAGTTTTGCTCTGACCAACCAATCAGAGAATGGAAAAATGCTGACATTGTGGGCCAGCTAGCTGGCCCTGTGAGGGGAATTTGAAATCTCTTTGGTTAAAGAAACAGTCCCATTGCTAACATAGTTTAAGTTACATCGGCAAGCACTTCTGATTCTGAAGGCCCTGGGCAGAATAGATTGACATGGCAACACAGAGGCTGAAATCTGATTGGACAAAAAAATCTAACATACACGTACTGGAAGCGGTGCAGCTAAGAGAAACGCTACAAAATGAAGAGAATAGACTGTTGGGAATAAATTAATACAATTTCATGGAACAAATATTAGAATTTAGGTTGTAAATGTAGGTCAGTGCTTCTGATAGTGTTTAGGCCAGCAGAGAAGGCCTTGCTGGCCCTGACTGCCCACCACTGCTATCTTATAAATAGAATTTAAAATTTTACGCCGTCTGTTGGGTGTCAGTGTTTTTTCCCGGTGTATTGAAACTGGTATCAAATATCAATTTTTGATAGTATTGCATCAAAGTTAGAAATTCCAGTATGATGACAGCACTGGATTGTACAGGCGATCAGCAACCAAGTACGGAAGAACTACAGCAAATTTTCAGTCAGCTCCATACAGTCTCATATTCTGCATTGTCGGTTAACATCTTTTTAAACTGCTAGATTAACAGCAATAAACCAATAATCATTGACATTCCTAGTGAGTACTGAAATATAAGTACTTGTATTCGGTCTGAAAAACATGGTATTGGAGCATTCCTAGATGCAAGTTCAGAAAATTAGCTATAAAAACAAAGTGCTGCATGTTGGTTACAAAATGTCTTGACATGTATTGAGCAAATCTGAATTTTGATACATGACAGCACAAGGATATCTGTGTTGGATTGTTATGCAAATGTTTCTTTTTTGGATCTCTAGGCAGCAGTAAACGGAGGAAAAAAGAGGAGCTACTAGGGAAGCCATTCAGGAGACCTCAGCATGAATTGGATCCCAATGGTTTGGTCCCTCTACCAGTCAAAATCTGCTTTTCATGTAACAGGTTAGTGCTACCAGACTGCAGTATGTACACAGATGTATGCATAGACCTGAATTGTTTCATATGGTATACTGATTGCTCTGCATTTCCTTTCACAGGAGTTGCAGATTGGCTCCACTGATCCAGTGTGATTATTGCCCCCTTTTGTTCCACATGGACTGTCTGGACCCTCCACTCACAGCTTTACCTGCTGGCAAATGGATGTGTCCGAACCATGTTGAGCACTTGGTGGTAAGAAGCATGGTCTTGGCTCAGAGCTAAACAACCTGTCAAGGCAGTACACCAGAATAATTAGTTTTTCATTTCACGTGTGTCTGATGTCTAGCTGAATCAGAAGAACCTCCGCCTGTCCAGCCGCTGTCAGCTCTTTGACCAGTTCCAGGATAGGATGTCACAGCATGCTGTCAAGTTGGACTTCCTGCGTAGAGTCCATCGTAAGAATGCACCCATCCCCATCCGGCGTACAACCCACCAGCACAACAAGAAGACCATCAAGGTAGACCCATTACCTCATTATGAGGGTGTCAAGGGTGTAATGGTAGTATATCATAATTCTGTCTGGCATGGGTCAATGTAACGGGGTGGGGGACACTACTGACCACTATAGGTTTTTTTTTTTTAAGGATAGGTTAATTGGGAATATTTTTATTGAATTTCACACACACACACACTATATATATATATATATATTTTTTTCTGCCTTTTCCTCTCCTGCTCCCCTTGCCTGAACACTTTTCTATTCTTGCATTCCCTGTTCTGTATCTTCAGTTGTCCCTCCTTGAGCTCTAGCTTCATGTCTAATTCATGTCTGTCTATGGATGTGAACAAGCATTTATTAATTATATGAATTTATATAAGCTAGTTATTTTATTTTTCAGTAACAGTTATAATCTGTTTTTTTTCCCTAGCAGTTGTTAAATTAACACCTTATCACTTTGCCTGTCTCTGGTGTTTCACTCAACAACAGCCTTACTGAACTGAAAGCCAGACATGCAGCTGTTTGTGAGCAGTTCCTTATGAGCTGAAAGGACAGTGGACAGACAAAGTATGTTCACCAGGCTAACCGACAACAGAAATGTACTGACCAAAATTAGTTTTTATGTGGCCTCATTAGGAAGAAACGGGCACGTTTCCATGTATGGATTTATTAATTTGATTGATTTTCATCAGCTCATTAGAGGGCAACTCAAAATGAAACCAAAAAGCTTAGAGGTACATTAGGAGCCTGGTCAATCATAACAGCTACTGTTAAAAATTTGCAAAAGAAAATAACAGGTTATCTGTGTATTTTAAACAGCTGTCTGTGGAGATTGGGTGTGAAGTCCATGGGTGACCCACATCTCACGCTTGTGTCGGCCCACAGACACATTTAGATAGAACACATCTAAAAATGTGCTCATTGTGAATTGGCCTTAACCCTATCTGTGTGTTTCACTTGGTTGTTTTTTTTTGTTTTTAACAGGCTTTTTATGATTCACTGAGGTGTTTGATTTGTTGCATTGATTGGTTTATTTTATTTTTTTTTTAATCTTATTTTGACATGGCAGACCACCACAGAGAAATGTTACCAGCAGAAACACTGGGTGGGGGTTAGGATTGTAAGGGCATAGAGGTGTCAGTTCATGCAGTAAGTGAGATTCTTATCTCTTACAGCTGTGCATCGATTCACATTGAAAAAAATTCTTGTGCATTAAATGTTTTTTTCTTTTTGTTTGTCTCTTTTTTTTTTTTTTAAATCAATTTTCTGAATATTCTGTGCTGATAGGAAAGATGGAACAACAGGCAGTTCTGAACCTAACACAAATTTCAATAGAAAGTAGCTAAAGCCTGCTGGAAAAGTTGCTAGATGTTTATAGATGATGATGTCCTAATCTACATATTGGTGACATTATCATGTCCTTAATACATCTGGGCTGTTAAAACATTGTCAAGAATTTTTATCAAACTTAAAAGAACAATAACTGTAATATAACATTGTAATAACAATCTAGTTTTATTATCTGTTAATTATGCCCGTATGAAAGAATACAATAAGATACAAGCAATTCACATTTATGAAACCATAAACTAACTTTTTGCAGTATTTCTTTGACCTGTTTCCTACCTGTTAACTGAAAAAATGTACAAAAATATAAACCATTCAGTCAGCACATATCAAACTGTTGGAAAAGGATACAACAAAAAGAGCTCTGGCACCCACATGTGCAGCTCAATCATGTCTCTTCCTGTGGCAGCGCTCCTCTCCTCTCCTCTGGTCTACTCACTGACTGGAGTAGAAGCTGAGAGGGGCGTTCCTTGGTCCTGCAACACTGCAGGACCTTACAGACAGTTCTGACAACTCTCCTCCAGAGAAAGTACGCTGTCCAAAAAGTCGCAGGATTTATCGCTAGTTGCTTATTTTAGGGGTTGAGGGTGGGGTGCTAAAAGGGGTATTAAAAGTCATTAAATCTAGCAACAGAGTCACTAAGTTGGCAATGCTGCATGAACTGGAAATTTTGTTACATTATTTGATGTAAAATTTTTACAAGAATGTATTCAGATGTTAATCGACTTTGGCTGGGTACCTAAATAGAATCAAGATGGGTTATGCCCTGTTTATTCAAAGACATTAGAATATGATAGGAAAACTGATGTTCAAACAACTGACCAAGAGTGACTGTTTGGACTCAGGTGCCGGATGCCGTTAAGTCCCAGTACCAGAATCCTCCCCCTGTGCTGCTTCCGGCAGGACTGCGCCAGATGGAGCTTGTTTGTAGTGGTGTTCCCGAACATCAGCCCTCAAAGCACCTTGCCACAGAGGCTGAGCAGCAGGAGGTAGGCAGAAGAAAAGCATTAATTTTAGAGTAACTGCACACCAAATTATTTATGCACTGCACGCATAATAAAAAAAATTCATATTGTTTGTGAAAATGTCATCTTTCTGGAAAGTTTGGTCAGTCAACTTGTCGAGCCCCTCCCTAAGCCATGATAAAATAAGCCAGACTCTGAGGTATGTTATCCCCCCACCAAGCTGTTGCACCAAGTGTAAGCACAGAATGCTGACTGACCGTAACCCCCATTTGTGCCTTTACTACATAACTGCCTGTAATGTTAGCATTAGTATGCCCGATTTAAAAATAAAGAATACATGAACGTGGTAAATGCTACATGTGGACCAGCAATGACTGTGCTGCAGTCAGAGCTTTAAAAGATATTTAATAACAATGAATAGTAATGTTAACCATGATAAACAGCATGACTGGGGCTATGTACTGAAACTCCCCCCACATTTGAGGGCCCTTTGGAGCAGATCTGCTAGATCAGCTATAACAGAGATGCACATACAGTGAGTCATATCAGTGGCTTGTATCTTCTATGCTCTGCAAAAACAAAAAAACATGATATTGGCATGTGTAATTCATAATGCCTATTTGTTGTGTACTATGTCATAATTTGTGTGGAATGTGGGTTGTCGGGTGGCATGATGACCATTCAGCAAGAGGCATTTTTTGCTTTGTTTTTCTGCAACAACAATCATATACATAGATTATTGGTGATATTAGCACCAGTGTTGGTTGAGGATGTTCAGTGATGTTTGTAGAGTCAGGTTGCAGCTTTTCTCAGAGTAGGGGAATACAAAACCAAATTTTTTTTCCAACATTGATTGATTGCTTGTCCAGCTACATAACATGTTTAATATCACTGCTCAAAATGCAGGGCCTTAAAACGGCAAACGGAGGCTTCAAAGGACAAATTATTATTTTTTTCTACTGGCTCTGGATAGGTAGTATGTGATTCTCATAAATCATACTAGCTTTAATTTGATTTTTAAATATTGAAGCAATATAAACACCACATTGTTCTTCCTGTGAAATAAATGGTTTCATTTGAGAGAGCAGCCTTCTAGAAGGGATTAGTTGGTTATGTGATAAAATATGTTTCTGATGTGTTGGAACAGTGGCTTCACGATGTCATCGCCCTCCAGTGCAGCATCATGCGACACCTGTCCATCAGGCAGAAGTCTTCATCAACAGCACCCACCTTGTTACCAGTAACATTATCAACAGATTGGGAGTCTGAACAGAAAGCCAGTGCTAAATCATGTGTAATATCAGAGGACATAAAAATTCATGCCTCTTTAGGAAGTACTTCTACCCCTGACCCCTGCTCTAAACCATGCAGTACACCTGATGATCTCCAAGGGGCTGCTCTTTCAAGGGACACCCCAGCAGAGCTGGGTGTTTCTAAATGCAACACAGCACCATGCCAGAACTGTAGGAAATCCAGTGGACCTCTAGCAGATGAGTGTCAGCCTCCCAAAGCCAATGGACCTGTAGTTTGTAACAGTGCCCCAGACTCCTGCAGGCAAGCTGGGCTACAGCACAGACTGAAGCCCAGTACAACACTGCCAGGCTCCGCACCTACTTCTGGTCAGGTGAACCATGTAGGCACAGAAATGGTTAAAAAAGAGACTGAAAGCTCTACAGAGGCCTGCAATCAGAAAACCTGCAATACTGCCCGGACAGTATGGCCCCATGGCAGCCAGCAGAACCACAGGAACCAGGTGGAACTCCAGGAGGACTGTATGAGGAGTGATGAAAAATGCTCATATTCTATCACCAGCAGTGCACACTCGGATACGCTGCCAAAAGGCACCCAGGAGCACAACTCGGCCAAGCTGGGATCATCAACACCTACTCCAGGTACACTTTCCTAAGGAAGTATAACTCACTACTGGTGAGCTTCCCAGGTTTATTTGGGATTCTCTATGGATGTCATATACAATGGTTTAACACAGTAGTGGTCTGTATTCAGTCATGTTTAAGGCTAATGATTGATTTATTAACTTTTGATACATGTAATCAGGTTCTGAAAAAACACCCAAGCGCCAAATGCAGGTAGATTTTGCATTTAGTGGGTAAATGTTTATACCAAAATAGTCGCGTTAAAATGATAAAGTCTCTATAGTGTTGTGATTTCTGGACACTTTACGTCTGTCCTACCTGTGTCGGAGCCCAACGCACACACCCCATGAAGACCTGCCCCCACTTCCAACACCATCTGAGCCTGATTGTCCAAGCCAATCTGAACAATCATCTGGTCATAACCATAACCAAACAACAAACAATAGCCAGTCATTGGCCAAGTAGGTACAGGTATGTACATGCCAAATTCCAGCACAGACAAGACACTGTGCTTATAGGGTGATTGCAGTAGAGAGTGAAGTAGAGTTGGCAGCTGTCCCTTATATTATGGGATTGTCCCATTTGATACATACAGCTTTATGTGTACAATGCGCTTTCCCATATTAAACCAATATGACACGCACTGTATTTTTGCACATTGTTTAAAGAGTCCATGACATTCTTTTCCTTTTTTGAACTATCTACAATATTACAACGATGAATTATCATCTTAAACGTGACCTAAAGCTAAAAAATTAGGTGTACATATGTTCTAGTACTTCTGTGTAGAAGCAACTCAGTTTATGCAAGTATTGCAGACTCACGCTGGTGAGACTTTTACAAGGATTTCCTTGAATGGTCATAATCTCCAGGTAGTTGTGTTCATGTGAGCTTGCCTGACATCCACCGGTGCCATTTTAAAAGCGAAATTTTTCGACTGCATGCAGTTTTGTGGATATAGTTTACCTCCTGCTGCACTGTGACCAGAGGATGTGGAGAGAAATACAGGGCCTGAGCTTACTGTATATCTGGCAATGTTCCTGTACCAGGGACTTGCTGTTTTACCTGACCAGATCTAACCTAGGATCAGCCGGCCAGTGAAGCACCCTGTGACAGTGAATGATCAGCTCATCAACGCTCGATTCCCCCGGAGCAAGGTTATTTGTTTTGACTGCTTGAGACTTTGCTAAGCCTTCTTTACTACAGCAGTGGTGTTTAAACTCCATTTTAGGTTACTGCTGATGTGAGTCCCTAGGAACTTGAAGCGAGTCAACTGCTCCACCTCCTGGTTTTTTATACTGAGCAGGTGACTATGCTGTGTATTCACAATTTTCAGTTTGTGAGTGCATGAGGTCAACTTGGGCAGAGGGTGTCTACAGGGAGCAATGCTGGTTATACAGTTTGGCAGCAGCAGGAAGGAAGGACCTGTGATAATGCTCCATCATGCACTTGGGGTGAAGCAGTTTGTCACTGATGGAGCTGCCCAGTGCTGGGTTAGAGTTACATTACAACTAATGTGGCTGAACAGAGATAAGACTGACAGCCATCCTGGCAACTGCAAGCAAACAGGGGGCCTGGGCTGTCCTGTTGCCAGAGAGTATATTTAACAGTACCAGCAGTTTCTAGTTAACCGGAATGTCTTCGCTTGGGCCCATTTAGTAATGTCTACTACTAGTCCCCCAGATGAGAGAGTGAGACACAGCATAGTTGCACTAGACTATTTGTGTTATGAGTGTGGCATGTTGGTCCTTATGTGTTACAAACAGAGGTGCGGTAGTGAAATTATTGGACATGCATTCTAGGATAGGTTTGGCTTTGTGTACCATCCCTTAGTTATAGGCCTAGGCTAAGGGACATCCCATGATGCTGATGCATATTTGTCACACTTAAATGTTTCAGATCATCAAACAAATTTAAATATTAGACAAAGATAACCCAAGTAAACACAAAATGCAGTTTTTAAGTGATGATTTTATTTATTAAGGGAAAAAATATCCGAATCTATGTGAAAAAGTAATTATTAATAAATGCAGCCTCTGGGTGTGCAGTCGGTTGTTTTGCTAATGGCTGCATGAAGTTCGTTCATAGCAAGCTTAGCATTAGCGTCCGGGGTGATATAAGTTTAAGATAAGATTATTATAGTGGAAATGAACTCCCTAGGCCGATAAAAAGGTCTACACTTAACCATAAGAAATTCCAGGTTAGTTGAACAGCGTCTCTGTGATGACAGTTCGTACACCAAGCTTTATTAACATAAATGCACAATCCACTGCCTGTGGTCTTACTGGAGTCATCTGCCGTTCTGTCTACCCGGAGTGTGTGGCGTCTAGCTAGCTCGATAGCACTGTCAGGTATGCTGCTGTTTAGCCAGGTTTCAGTGAAAATCATAATATTGCAGTCCATATGTCTTACTGTTGGTGATGTGAAGCTGTATTTCGTCCATCTTGTTCACCAGTGACCACACACTGGCGAGGAAAATGCTAGGTAACAAGAGCTGGTGCAATGTTAGCTTTAGCTTAGCTCTAACTCCTCCACGCCTTTGTTTACGATCTTGACGCTGCCTGCAAGCGCTTCCACCTGGCCGGGTAGAGTGCGTAGTCTCCGGTGTTTTGGAGATTTCAGGGGTGAGTCAAAGATTGGTGATATAACTGCTGGAGTGGTGTAGACCGATATCCAAAAGTTCTTGCCAGGTATAGGATATTAAGGTAAAGGTGTTCTGCACGAACAGACACAAAATAAGCAGGAGAATCAGTGCAAAATTGCAGAAATCTGCCTTGCGAATGCAAGGTCATTTTTTTGCTAAAGTTACTAGTGGCCTACTACTTAACAGACTTGATGGTGGGTTTCAGCCGCTACTAACTTCAAACTGGAACTTGACAGTGACACATATGTGTGACTTCGTGTTTGACAGGGGTGCACCGAACCTTTGGCCACCGAAAATTTTCGGCCAAAAAGGCCATTTTTATTTCGGGCTGGAATAAAAAAAAAACACAACGAAAATGCCCCGCCCCGCCCATCCTCGCGCAGCACAGGTTAGGTTTCACTCATGCTGGAGCTGTTATATCACGCGTCTCCCCATCAGCACAGACAGTGAGAGACTTCAGTGCAGCATCTCATGTGCTTAATGAGAAGAGGAACCGTCTCTCCAGCCAAAAAGTGGAGCAACTTTTGTTCCTAAAGAAAAACCTGCCACGTTTGTTGAACTAAACAGCAGTCCAATTTTGCATAGTGCATAGTTGCATTAAAATTTGTGTAGCACTGCTGCCTACCTAGGCTATGTTGTTTACAGTTTGTTTGGAAGTTCTATTGCTGTTTTTGCATCGTTTTGCATTGTTTTGCACAGCAATTTAAAATGTTTGAGTGTTACATAAAACTGTTATTGAATGTTACATAAAACTTGAATAATATTATGTGGTATTGTTTATTGTCAAATATTTTAGTTTTTTATTTCAGATTCATCAAATTCAAGTAATTTATATATATATATACATACACACACACACACACACACACACAGTGGGTACGGAAAGTATTCAGACCCCCTTAAATTTTTCACTCTGTTATATTGCAGCCATATGCTAAAATCATTTAAGTTCATTTTTTTCCTCATTAATGTACACACAGCACCCCATATTGACAGAAAAACACAGATAGCCACACCCAGGCCTGATTACTGCCACACCTGTTCGCAATCAAGAAATCACTTAAATAGGACCTGCCTGACAAAGTGAAGTAGACCAAAAGATCCTCAAAAGCTAGACATCATGCCGAGATCCAAAGAAATTCAAAACCAAATGAGAAAGAGAATAATTGAGCTCTATCAGTTTGGAAAAGGTTATAAAGCCATTTCTAAAGCTTTGGGACTGCAGCGAACCACAGTGAGAGCCATTATCCACAAATGGCGAAAACATGGAACAGTGGAGAACCTTCCCAGGAGTGGCCGGCCGACCAAAATTACCCCAAGAGCGCAGCGACAACTCATCCAAGAGGTCACAAAAGACCCCACAACAACATCCAAAGAACTGCAGGCCTCACTTGCCTCAGTTAAGGTGAGTGTTCATGACTCCACCATAAGAAAGAGACTGGGCAAAAATGGTTTGCATGGCAGAGTTCCAAGACGAAAACCACTGCTGAGCAAAAAGAACATAAAGGCTCGTCTCAGTTTTGCCAGAAAACATCTTGATGATCCCCAAGACTTTTGGGATAATACTCTGTGGACAGACGAGACAAAAGTTGAACTTTTTGGAAGGTGTGTGTCCCATTATGTGTGGCGTAAAAGTAACACCGCATTTCAGAAAAAGAACATCATACCAACAGTAAAATATGGTGGTGGTTGTGTGATGGTCTGGGGCTGTTTTGCTGCTTCAGGCCCTGGAAGACTTGCTGTGATAAATGGAACCCTGAATTCTGCTGTGTACCAAAATATCCTGAAGGAGAATGTCCGGCCATCCGTTTGTGACCTCAAGCTGAAGCGAACTTGGGTTCTGCAGCAGGACAATGATCCAAAGCACACCAGCAAGTCCACTTCTGAATGGCTGAAGAAAAACAACATGAAGACTTTGGAGTGGCCTAGTCAAAGTCCTGACCTGAATCCAATTGAGATGCTGTGGCATGACCTTAAAAAGGCAGTTCATGCCCGAAAACCTTCCAATGTGGCTGACTTACAACAATTCTGCCAAGATGAGTGGGCCAAAATTCCTCCACAGCGCTGTGGCAGACTCATGGCAAGTTATCGAAAACGCTTGATTGCAGTTGTTGCTGCTAAGGGTGGCCCAACCAGTTATTCGGTTTAGGGGGCAAACACTTATTCACACAGGGCTTTGTAGTTTTGGATTTTGTTTTCCCTTAATAATAAAAACCTTCATTTAAAAACTGCATGATGTGTTTACTTGTGTTATCGTTGACTAATATTTAAATTTGTTTGATGATCTGAAACATTACAGTGTGACAAACATGCAAAAAGATAAGAAATCAGTAAGGGGGCAAATACTTTTTCACACCACTGTATATATATACAC